GGGCATGGGTTTTATGGATGTTTTAGGCATTCAGTGGGGGGCAGGAGGGGGTGTCACACTTCCCTTTGCTGCATTTCTCCCTGGGCCCATTGCATGAAGCGTCCCAGGCAGGTATAGCATGGAAGCAGCTACAAGCCAGGGAGCCCCACGGCCTCTGTCTGGCTCCTGCAGTCTGGCTACGGCAGTAGTCAAAACCCACAAGCCTGACAAGTTAGTATCCCTCCATACTGCTCTGTGTGCCTGAGACACCGACCCGTCCATGTCCATTGCTGGCCTGTGCTCCCCTTGCCAAGCGTAGTGAATTTGCACCTCCCCTGTGGGGTGTCGCAGCTGAACGTGTCCAGAAGCCTCTCTTGTGCCCAGGCCTTGCTGTGTTCTTGGTGGGTGAGAGCTATAGCTGGCCTGGGGCTTTGTCTGCTGAAATCTCATTAAAGTGAGATTAATTATTGCAAGGGCTTCACAGCTGGATGCATGTTTTACCGGAGAGACGCCACTTGCGGGGCTGCTATTGCTTGTACACAGCAAATATAAAACATCCCCAGACTAAGCCAGGGCCTACCACTTAATAACTGAAGTAAGAGCCGGATGGGTTGAATCTGGTTTTGTTCTTGGCATTTCTTCTCTCTTGGTTAGTGAGTTGCTGCCTGCTCCCTGCAACTTGCTTTGTGTAGCAGGATTAAAATGCCACTGGTTGTGGCATGGCCCAAAGGGAAGTTGGCTCAGCTGAGGGCAGATGGGAGGGCTAAGAAGATAAGTGACTAGTCTGAAGGTCCGTCTGCACCTTGGAAAGAAAAGGTAGTGCGGTGGCTGACCTGTTCAGAATTGGGCACGGCGTGAGCATCTTCCCCGTGGTGTCGTAACTGTTTTCAGTACTGCCATCAGGGCAAGGACAGCAGCCAAAATGATAATGTCGAGGGTGTGCAGGATGAAATCACCCTCTGAAATGAAATAAGCACATTGACCTTTCATTCCTGAAGACTGGGATTTGATCTTGCCCTGTAACTGGTGCGAGTGGCTAGTCGGCCTGGCTCTTTGCAGACCGTCGCTGGATCAGGCAGGCCCTGGGCTGCCTCTTGTGACCAGCGCACCAAGACGTCTGGGTGGAGTCGCAGTTGGGCTGTGCAAGGGAAAGGGGAAGTGCCATGTTAGACGAGGAGGAGCTTCTGCAAGTTTGGAGGGGAGTGAGAGGCTGCAGGGCAGGTGGGAGGCAGAGGGAGAGCCCTTGGGTGCATTGGGGGAGCTGCATTTGGAGCGTAGTGGACCGGCAGTCACCATGCGCGTGCTTGGCATGACTGCGTTGGCGGCGTGTGAAACATGGAAGTGTTGTGTCTTGAATAGGAAACAAGCTGTGGTGGATCTCCACCTGCGTTTGAAGCTGCACATGCTGTTTGTTACATGACATTGAACATAATTGGGTTCTTCCCCACAGCCCCGGACGAACGAGTGGAACGTTTGATAACGAGATTGTTATGATGAATCATGTCTACAAGGAGCGGTTCCCTAAGGTAACGCCTGGTGCTCGGATAGACTGTCCAGGAGGGCGGGCGTCCAACAAGACCTGTCTTTCTTGTGTCTGGGGAGGTGCGCCCAGTGCGCCGGGGGAGCAGAGGTCAAGGGTCTGCCACGCAGGGAGGTGCATGTGCCCCGGTATCGGCACAAAGCCATCTCCGTAGCAGCCTGGTTCGGTCTAGGACACCAGTGCAGATGCGCTGGACCCGATGATCTACAAGGTCCCTTCCAGCCCTGGACCATCTATGAATCTATGACATGCACCGTCCTCGAGACAAGGACGCTGTGGCCCTTAAGGCTGCTGGTGCTGCCCCATGTCTCAGGGGTGGGGATCGATGCTTCTAGTTTGTGTGATGCTGGCGAGCTGCAGACGGGCGGGCGGCCCAGAGCGTGGTGCCCTCTCGTGCTGCTCTCACCTTACTCGCCAGCTCCGTGCCGCCACAGCAATTTTCTGTTTTGTCGGCTGGCCATGTCCCAGCCACAGGCCTGTCCAGGGAAGCAGTAATGGAGTCTGTTCCTGCTTTGGTTTCATCCTTCCTGCAGTACCACACGGTCTGGCCTTGGGGTCCATTGGAAGAAGGCACTGGCGACTGCTCGGTGCTGGGTTCCTTGCATGTGACCAGCACTGTGCTCAGAAGTGTTTGACCCACAGGGCCTGCCTGGGCCCTGTCTGAAAGCTGCTCTTGATGGCTTTCTTCACCTCGAGCCAAAGGCCCGCACTGCCCTTCCTCTGCACAGGGGTCCTGAGTCTTAATGGCAGCCACGGGGGATATGCCTGGCTGATGCCAGCTGCTGCAGCTCCATTGCCTTCAGGGAGCTCTGGCTCAGGATGTCATGGGACTGCCCTCTTGCAGGTCATGGCTTGCCTCAAGGCATGGCCCCTGCAGCCGGCATGTGCGGGACCAGTGCAGCTGGTGGCTGACACGGGGTACGTGCCACTGCAACACCTTCCGCCCCTATCCCCCAGGCCACGGCACAGATGGAGGAGCGCTTGCAGGAGACCATCACCAGCTGCTCCCCGAGCAGCACCTTGCCCCTTGCTGATGGAGTGCTGGGGTTCATCCACCATCAGATCATTGAGTTGGCCCGAGACTGCTTGGCTAAGTCCCAGGGAGCCCTCATCACCTCGCGCTACTTCATGGAACTGCAGGAAAAGCTGGAGAAGATGCTGCGAGACGTAAGCATCTGGCCCGCACCCCCTTTCTGGCTCCCTGCGGCCTGCCGGCTCTGTGGTGACCTTGCAGCTTTTGTCTCCCCTTCTACAGGCCCAGGAGCGTTCAGAGAGTGAGGAAGTGAGGTTTGTAGACCAGCTGGTGAGGAAGCTGCTGATAATAATATCTCGACCGGCCCGCCTTCTAGAGTGCTTGGTAAGAGATACTCACGGCTTCGCTGCAGTCAGAGTGCGTGCGCTCAG